GGGTGAGTGCTGGCCATTATTTTCAAGCCTCTGCTCCCTCTACTACCTACAATGAATGGCTGGGAGCCCCAAACCTTCTTGGAAATGAGCTTAGGCACAGGCTGCCCTTGACTGTCCTCTTCTGCGTGATGTTCCTTCAGATGAGACAAGAAGGCAGTGCTCCTCTCCCTGGTGGCTTCTCTTCTGCAGAACAAACACCCCCAGCACCTCGGACTTTTTCACTCTCCGTAATATCATGCTTGGGTCTGTCCTTAGAACGATACTGAAGGTGTTCTTTGTCCTACAAGGAGCAGCACTGACCCATCCCCTCCCTCCTTCTGGAAACTCTAGTAACGCACCTAAGAGTGCGCTGGGGCTGGGCACGGTGGCTCATGCCTGTAATCCCAGCACTTTGGGATGCCAAGGCAAGCGGATCACCGGAGGTCAGGAGATCGAGACCATCCTGGCTAACACAGTGACGCACCGTCTCTACTAAACATACAAAAAGTTAGCCAGGCATGGTGATGTATGCCTGTAGTCCCAGCTACTTGGGAGGCTGAAGCAGGAGAATTGCTTGAACCCAGGAGGTGGAGGCTGCAGAGAGCTGAGATAGCGCCAGAGTGAGAGTCCATCTCAAAAAAAAAAAAAGAAAGAAAGAAAAAAGAGTACACTGGACTTTTCTGACAATCACATACAGTTTTTCACACACAGGGGGTCCGAGTTTCAATGGAGAGAAACAGTTTTACAGAACAGGAGGGTAAGGTGACAAACTCCCAGCCCCGCCGCATCTCTAGTAACACATATGGCAAAAGATGAGGACAAAAAGGTGCTAAACGGGGGCTGGCAAATGCGTACTGTAAAGGACCAGATGGTAAATAATTTAGGATTTGCCAGCCAATCTCTGTTGCAACAACTCCACCTTGGTGGCACAAAAGTGGCTGTAGACAGTATATCAGTAAATGAACAGGGATATGTTCCAATAAAACTTTATTTATAGACCCTGAAATGTGAATTTCATAGGATTTTCATGTGTCATGAAATATTTTTTTTCAAGTCATTTAAAAGATGTAAAACCTATGACATTATGTTAAGTCATAATGAAGGAAACTAGCCACAAAGGACTACCTATTGTATGACTCCATTTACATAAAGTGCCCAGAATAGGCAAACTCACAGAGAAAAAAGGTAGATTAGTGGTTGCCCAGGGCTGGGAGAGAGAGGGATTAGGGGGGAGGGGTTTCTTTTGGAGGTGATGAAAATGTTCTCAAGAGATTGTGGTGATGGTCACACAACCATGAATATACTAAAAGCACTGAATTATACACTTTAAATGGGTGAGTTGCACTGGGCACAGTGGCTCACATCTATAACCCCAGCATTTTGGGAGGCCGAGGTGGGCAGATCACACTTGAAGTCAGGAGTTCGAAACCAGCCTGGCCAACATGGTGAAACCCCATCTCTACTAAAAATACAAAAAAAAATATTAGCTGGGCGTGATGGTGGGTGCCTTGTAATCCCAGCTACTTGGGAGGTTGAGGCAGAAGCTGCAATGAGTTGAGATTGAACCACTGCACTCCAGCCTGGGCGACAGAATGACACTGTCTCAAAAAAAAATTAATAAAAACATATAACAGGTGAGTTACACGGTAAGCACACAAGTTATACCATAATAAAGCTGTGTTCAGGCCAGGCCCAGTGGCTCACACCTGTAATCCCAGCACTCTCTGAGGCCGAAGTGGGCAGATCACCTGAGGTCGGGAGGTCAGGAGTTCGAGACCAGCCTGGCCAACACGGTGAAACCCCGTCTCTACTAAAAATACAAAAATTAGCCAGGTGTGGTTGTGGGTGCCTGTAATCCCAGCTACTCAGGAGGCTGAGGCAGGAGAATCGCTTGAACCTGAGAGGTGGAGGCTGCAGTGAGCCGAGATCACACCACTGCACTCCAGTCTGAGAGACAGAATGAGACTCCGTCTCAAAAAAATACATTAAGAAAATAAATAAATAAAGCTGTGTTTAAAACTGAAAACCATTCTTGGTTCACAGGCCATAAAACACCTGCCTGGGCATACGGGATCTGTGGCTTCTGCTGGTGAATGGTGGGGTCTGGCTACCGACTCCATCTAATTCCTAACCTGGTACCCCAACTCATTCCATGTCTGCTCCTACTTCCGCCCTCCTCCACCTTCAGGTCTCTGAATGCTACTGGAACTCTGATGTCCCTTCTTCCACGAAGTCTTCCAGGCACTTTGTCAGTTGTTACTTAATGGACACCTACTATGTGCCAGACACACGTCAGGAATGCTTTACCGTAATTATTCAATTTTAAGCCATCATCACAACAACCTAGAGGGCATTACCCCATTTTACAGACCAGGAAACGCGAGAGCCAAAGATTTAAAAACAAAAAAAAAACCTAGCCCAAGGTCACTTGCTGGTGAGTGGCACAGCTGAGATTCAAACCCCGGGCTGAGGCCTGAGCATGTTGCTATCTTCTGGCCCCGCAGAACTGACAGCACCTAGAGGGTGGGTCAGTCGTTCACCCAGGTGGCGACATCCCAGCACCACCCTACAGGATCTAGGGAATGAATGAAGGGTCGATGGACGAGAAGAGGCAGTCGAAGATTGGGGAAGGGGCCAGGGCTTGTTCGAAGTGGGGCCGAGGGGCTTCCAGGACCCGGGACAGGAGAGGAGGGAGCGAGCAACGCTCTCTTAGAGCCCAGCCGAACCCCGGGCCGAGCTTCCCGACGGTGCCTGTGCGGCCTGGGTGAGGCTGCTCCCCACGGCGGTACCGGGGCACCGGCTACACGAAGCCGCCCTGGGGCTGGGCCAGCCAGGCAGGGCTGGAGGGCCTGAAAGTAGAGACGCCACCCCGGCTCCGAGTGCGTGGAAACAGACACGGGCGGAAGCGGCGAGGGGACGGCCAGGGCGGGGTCGCGAGGCCGAGGCTGGGAGGCGCCCACCTGACCACCCGCCCGCCGCCCGGCTCTGCGGCCCGCAGGCCCCGCCGCCTTCGGCCTCCGCAGTCGGGCCGGGCCGCACCAGGTACCTGGAGGGTTGATGTTGTCATTTCATCTCCTGGGTCCGCCCCACACCCCGCGGCGCTGCTTGCGGCCTCGGTCCGGCCCCGGGGAGCCGAGGTACTGAGTCCGGCGCGGAGAGCCCGGCGGTGGGCGCTGAGCGCGGTGCGCGGGCAGGGCGGCCGCTCGCAGCGGGAGCCGAGTCCGAGGGCGAGCGAGGAGCGCGGCCCAGAGCGGTCGGGCCCGAGCTGAGCGGCTGCCCCCTAGCGGCCACGGCCCGCACTGCAGGCACGACTCCCTGCCGCGGCGAGGGCAGGGGGCGGTTCGAGAGGCGGGGCGGACTGGGGGCGAGGGCGGGCGGGGAGGAGGTGGGACTAGGGCGAGGCGGACAGGGGGCGGGAACGGGGTGGGTGGGACAAGGCCGGGGCGGGGCTTGGCAGGACGTACGTTCTCAGGGCGGGACCAGGGGCGGAGCGGGATAGAATCCGGAAATCCTGACCTCTCTTGGAATGACAACGCCCATCGGGCGGTTTTATCCTCACAATAAAACGAATTTATCAGAGCTTTGATTTCTCCATGTTTAATACTGCACGATTATAATTAGCCCCTCCCTTGTCTGGCTTTTGTGGGGAATAAATGAGCTGGCTAATGTAAACAGTGTGCCCCACAATGGGGCTCAATCCCTGGTGGGATGCCGCTGTCTAAAGCCAGTTATGTTTTGCTTTGATTGACTGATATGGAGTCTTGCTCTGTCGCCTAGACTGGAGTGCAGTGGCATGATCTCGGCTCATGGCAACCTCCGCCTCCCGGGTTCAAGAGATTCTCCTGCTTCAGCCTCCCGAGTAGTAGCTGGGATTACATGCATGCACACCTACTGTGTACAGCGTTGTGTACTAGTTTCTGGGGATACAATGATCAAAACAGTTCTAGGGCTGGGTATGGTGGCTCACGCCTGTAATTCCAGCACTTTGGGAGGCCAAGGCAGGAGGACTGCTTGAGCCGAAGATCAAGACCAGCTTGGGCAATATAGTAAGACCTCGTCGCTAAATTAAAAAACAAAATAGGCCGGGCGCAGTGACTCATGCCTGTAATCCTAGCACTTTGGGAGGCCGAGGTGGGTGGATCACGATGTCAGGAGTTCAAGACCAGCCTGGCCAAGATGCTGAAACCCCGTCTCTACTAAAAATATAAAAAAATTAGCCGGGCATGGTGGTGGGCGTCTGTAGTCCCAGCAACTGGGGAGGCTAAGGCAGGAGGATCACTTGAACCTGGGAGGCGGAGGTTGCAGTGAGCCAAGACCGCGCCGTTGCACTCCAGCCTGGGCGACAAGAGCGGAACTCCGTCTCTAAATACATAAATACAAAGGAGAAAACAATGAGGACACTAGCTTGACTAGGCGACCGAAGGGAACACCCCTGGTGGTGGGATGCGTGGCCCCCGTGTGTCTCCCGACATGATGCCCTGAAGACAGCATGGCATCATGGCATCTCTGCCAAGAGTGTATGACACAGCCTGCTTGTGAGGCGACAACGAGCAGAGCCAGCTGGAGAGTTGTGCTGCAGAATGAAAGACCTGTGCTGAGACTCAGGCACATGCGACTTAGAGTGAGGCTGAGGAGCATTCCAGACTGAAGAACTGAGACGCGACGACAAAAGGCAAGAAAGTGGTACTGGCCAGGATCCCGGCCAGAGAGGAAAACAGGACATGGCCGGGATGGCTGGCATCATTTGAATGGGGTCCATGGAATGAGTGGTGGTGTGCCAATGTTGACTTCCTGATTAGGAGGGCTGTATGGTGGCAATGCAGGGACTGTCCTTATGTTTTAGAGCTCCTCACTAGAGAATCATATCAGAAAAATACAAAGTAATGGAATAAATATGGCAAAATGTTAACAACTGGGAGATTTAGGTGAAGGAGATTTGTACTGTTTCTTAACTTTCCTGTAGGTTCAAAACTATTTCAGCATTTTAAAAATCGGAAAACAAAAACAAAAACAAAAACACGTGACTAAAGCAACTTTTTTATTTACAGTATAAAGGTTACAAAGGTATATATTTATATATATAATACCCTTAAGTTACATATTTTCATTGTAATGTACAATGCTGTATGTTGATGTGCTACTCAAGGGGAAGTGTTTATGCATCTATATTTATAGAGTATACATAAAGCTTTTTCAAATTAGGAACACAAATGCTGCCCTGTTTTATGCCTTGGGTTTTTGATTTGGTATCCAGAAGATCTGAGACTTAAATTTCAAACAAGACTTAAAAAGAAGTCTTGTTTAAATACAGGGTTCTAAAAAGAAGGAAAAAACCCAGAACATCACATACTTTTTAATTATTTGTAAAAGCATTATTCTAGTTTTCTAAGTCTTTATACTTAAACATGAAAGCAGTGTGGGAAAGAATCCACATAAGCAGGTTTCATCAGAGTTTGCAGATTAGCCAAAACAGGCCTTCAATAGGTAGTGGTTTTCTACATTATCTTCCAAAAGACCTCAGGTTTGGTACCAAAAAGGACACAGATTTTTTTTGGGCACCAAGGTCTTATAATGCTGCACTCCTCCAATGGATTGTAAATATAATACTGGAGTCGTATAGTGGAGGGAAAATTCTCAAACCTGTTCTTACGATAAGGACAGATTTGCTACAAAGTGAGAATATCATCGAGAATGATGACTGTGCCAAACCTGAAACGTAATTTACATCATCATTTCCTCTCCCCCCAATTCTATTAATTCACAAATCGAGGTGAAAAGACACAACTGACACCCGCTTTAACAGGACCCAGAGAGAATGAAAAGCATTTCTTCCAACCTAGGAGGAACACGCATTTACAATACCTATGTGCTGGTTTTAATAACATACAATCATTAGCACCTGATTGTCAAAGGGTAGGTTTAAAGTAAAGAACAAGACACTGAAGGCATGGCCTAATTTTTGTGCACAACTCCAGGATACTTGAAAACCAAGGGGAGGGCACCCATGTAATTCGGTTCCCTATGCCATTCCAATCACTGATGGCTCAGGTACTTTCTGGGCATGACTAAGGATGTTGCCTGAAAGGCTAACGCTAGAGATAAACGGAAGGCAAGCCGGATAGAAAGGGACTGTTATTGTGTGAAAATTATGGAAAACATTCATTCAGTCAGTCTTATTTTCTTTAAGTGCCCTTTTCACTGAGTCCGAATGCCAGCGTGTCCTGGAACAAGTGAAATGTTGTTAATTTGTATTTATTTTTTAAATGTTAAACAATTTTTTTTTTTTTTAATTTTTTAGACGGAGTCGGGGGTCCCGCTGTGTTGCCCAGGCTGGTCTGGACCTCCTGGGCTAAAGTGATCCTCCTGCCTTGGCCTGATTTTGTTATTTTTTAAAATATCTTCATTTTGATCTATCATTAATGGAGAAATACTCCGTCTACCATGTATAGAAGGACTTTCAGCAAATGAAATGCTTAAATAGTTTAAGTGTGGAAATGAATACAGCAACATTTAGAAATAAGGGGTTGATAAAATATGCATTTAGTTTTGCTGTTATAGTTAAAGCAGCATTTTTTTTTTTAAAGACTTTCTCATTTATCTACTTCGGGCAATAAAATTTTTGTTGTTGTGATTTATCTTACAAAGGATACTGTATACTGTTCTCTTTCCCAAACTAAAGTCTGATTTTGCATTAAAAAAAAAAATCATGCATGATGAAAAGACCAGCCCACTTAAATGTGCTTGGAGTCCTTTCATGTTGGCATGGATCAAAGCCTGAGTATCCCTTCAAACATTTTCCAGTTTGCCAGATCCAGATTAACAGACTTGTAATATACTCTGGTAAAAATATGAAGTGATGAATTACTTAACTGCTGAATGATAAACAGATGGCATGGTGTGACTGAGAAATAATGGATTATGTGCTACTTGAGGGCAGAACTTCCTTCTGGACCCTTCAGAATGCCTGATGTAGAACTATACATTAATACCTGTTTATTAGTTAAAAGAACACATGAATTAATATGTCATTAATTAGCTTTCCAGTTTCAAAATCAGTGTCAATAGCATGGATATAAGATTATTGCAAAACTGAGAAAGGTACTTAGAGGACTCAGAAATTATAAATCTTTTTCTTTTTTTGGAGATGAAGTCTTGCTCTGTTGCCCAGGCTGGAGTGCAATGACACGATCTCAGCTCACTGCAACTTCTGCCTCCCGGGTTCAAGCAATTGTCCCACCTCAGCCTCCCGAGTAGCTAGGACTACAGGCACGCGTCACCTCGCCCAGCTAACTTTTTGTATTTTTAGTAGTGATGGGGTTTCACTATGTTGGCCAGGCTGGTCTCAAACTCCTGACCTCAGGTGATCCACCGCCCTTGGGCTCCCAAAGTACTGGGATTATAGGCATGAGCCACCGCACCCGGCCAGAAATTATACATCTAACCAGGATTCCCAAACCTACAATACAATGAAGTATTACTTCTTTGTTATAGGTTTTTGGTTTTAACCAATCTATTTTAAAAGGGGCAATTCAAGGATTATGGCTTATATGGTGGATTTCTGTTGAATATGATCAAATGTTCACTGGAGAACAAGCAATAATTTGCAAAAGGCATATTTATGCATTACACATTAAATGTGGATCCTCTTCTAAAACTAGAATAAGCTTCAGTTCAGTTGCCCAATGTGGGAAGAAAGAATAGAGGTGGCAAGAAATGAAGCTCAAGTTTATGTTTTGAAACAAAAGAGGAAACTTATTAAAAGATTCTTCTGAGTTACTACGTAACAACCATTCTTCTAGCTGGCAGTTTAGCTAGTCAAAGACAGACAAAAAAAAAAAAAACCCCAGATGTGCTATATGTGCCTATTTATTGTACCTTACCCTTAACTTGAAATTCTATCCTTTAAGAGAATGAATTTGTGTCACTCATCTGCCAGATGTTTTTGTTTTTTTAGAGAAAGGGTTTCAACTCAGCCACTTAAGCAGTCTATTACTAGTGTAAAATAAATTCCATTTAACATCACAGCATAGGAATAATTATATTGCTCAAAAATACATAACCCTGATATATAGAATTATTTTAGAACTATCATCACACATTTATTGAGTGTCTATGTATCCAGCACAGTGAAAGATTTAGCTTAAAGGGTGGAGGGGGGCAGATGGCTACAATAGGTTTTTAAAGACAGTATGTGGAAAGTCAGAATAATTTTAGATTACCAAGCAATTAAAATAAGGGCACAGAGAAAGAGTAGTAGGAGAAAGAGCAGTAGGAGACGGCAGACTGCTCTACTTTCATCCGCAGTGGTGTTAAAAAAAGAAAAAAAAAAAAAGCCAAAATAACAACGGAAATTTAACTGAAAGTGATTTCCAAACTCAAAGTAGAGTATAATACCACCTGGTACTTAATGTCATACCTGACAGAGATATACAAAAAGAATGAATATGACTACAGTCAAATTCAACTTAAAGTTTAAGCAGAATCCCAAATTTAAATAAGTCTCTTTTCATTACATAGATATTTGATCCGATCAGAGCAATTTGCTTTGAGACCAAAGAGATCTGGCATTTTACTTATTCATTAGGGATTGAAAGAAGACGACCTTTGGCTTTTCTAACCAGCCATTTCATTCATGGCATCAACAGCCTCTGGCAGCCACGTGGAAATGTATGCTGGATATTTGGATAGTTTAAATATTATGTACAAGGAATAGCTTATAACCAGTGAAAATAATAACATAATTCAGCATAAGTGTCCAAGATAAGATACAAAAGAGCAGAGAAAGTGCTTGAGTCTACAGGTCTTCCCTGAAAGTTTCAAAAATGTTTAACTCTTAAGCAGGTAGGGCTTTTAATAGAATTTGCATAGCAGCACACAAGGTAATTTGCATTAAAATATATGAACAGAGATTCTTCCACGGCTTTGAAAACAAATATATTCACATGCATATAAGTTAAGCAAGAAGACCTGGAGTTTCTCACACAATTTTAAAAAAATCTATTATAACCTTTTCTCATACTTTTGTCCATCAAAACCACTTACAGCAAAACCTGTTTCTAGGAGAAACATAGCCTTGTCCAGATTCCACACAGCTTAAATTTTCTTTTAATGTGTAATTTCTGGGCCCAGGTGCAGTGGCTCACATCTGTAATCCCAGCACTTTGGGAGGCCGAGGCAGGAGGATTGCTTGAGCACAAGTGTTCAAGATCAGCCTGGGCAACATGGCGAAAACCTGTCTCTACAAAAACCAAAACAAATAAAACAAAAAAAACCATAAAAATTAGCCAGGTGTGGTGGCACACACCTGTGGTCCCAGCTACTCAGGAGGCTGAGGCGAAAGGATCATTTGAGCCCAGAAGGTTGAGGCTGCAGTCAGCTATGATCATACCACTGCACTCCAGCCTGGGTGACAGAGTGAGAACCTGTCTCACAAAAAAAAGGAGGAGGATAAAAAAAGAACAAATTCTGTTTTATCAGCTAAGTGCATTCATTCAGCTGGAAAAGCTTTGTTACCATTCAACTTAGGAGGATAAATTAGGAAAACAATCAGTAATAATGTTAGGTATTTGTTGTTTAGAAAGATTTTTTTTCTTATAAAAATATAAGAAATAAATAATCCAATCTCTCCTGCCATGCAATAATTTTCAGTAACAAAGTTTGTGAGAGTAGAGAACATAAAAACAGGCACTATCAGACCTTCTTTGGCCTAAAATGTGCTAAAATGGGTTTAAAATAGGTGAATGACATTTAAAGTAGTATTTTTCACTGCCTATATATGTTCCAGTATTTAACCTGAAACTCTTATCTACTAGGAAGGTGAGTTTACAGTTACAACTATCTAATAAATACTATATGAACATACATTTAAGTATTTCTTCATATAAGACATTAGATACTAATTTCCAGATAATGTTTCATTTGATGACTTCAGGAAAGGACTTACCTTTTTCAGAAAAAGAAAAACTGAATGTTTTTCTTTTATTCCTTTCCTTTTCTTTTTATGGAGAGAAAGGAGAGAAGTTTTAGAAGAAAAGGTGGGAGCCTTTTCATATACCAGCTGGCTGCTCCTAGGCATCTGTGTGGAATGTGGAGAAGCTGTCGAAGCCTCGGGTCTGGGGGCACAGGAAGCAGTCCCTCTGAATGGGGAGCGGACACTATTCTGCAGTTTCCTTTCCATTTCACACACTGGAACCTACCACATCCTCAACAATTTTCTTAATTCAAAATGAAAAAGAAATGAAAAGTGAGCTGGTTCTATAAAAAAGGTAGAATATTGAAAATGCCCATTTTTAGTTATCATTTGGAAATAATTTGCCATACTTTGGCATCTAAATATAAATACATATTTATCATGGTGTCTCATTCATTAGAGAGCACTTCATTTGTGGATTGAAAATCCCACAAACACATTTGATTGAAGAACAACCTTGGTCATCATGATTGGAGAGCTCTTAAGTATGTAAGACAAGCAGCAAAAGGGCTCTGGTTCTTGGGGCTGCTAATGGACAAAGGAAACCTCCCATTCTTTCATTTCACACCAAGACTCAAAAGATATTATTAAGAACCCTACAGACCTCAGTGCTATACATGTCAGTTTAACCTTGACCAAACTGAGTGAAAATGCACATGCCTTGCCTTTCCTGCTCACACTTTAATTCCACCTATTTTACATCTTCATATAACCAATGAGCAGGGTGGCTCAGAAGCTCCCCTGCAAATCTCAGTGGCTTAGCCTTTCACATTAACACAGAAAACCTCAACCAAATGGCTTTGCTGCTGAAGTCTGTAAAGGCATCATTCAACATCTCATATTAATAATGCTCTCACTGCATAGAGGATTTAAGATTGCCTACCTGAGGGTATTACATATTGAAATTCTGATTCCAGAAATCATTTCTGGACCTTCAAGAGATTTTTTTCCTTCCCTGAAATGAAAATTTATTGTGGGCCAGGTACAGTGGCTCACACCTATAGTCCCAGCACTTTGGGAGGCCAAGGCAGGCGGATCACTTGAGGTTGGGAGTTCAAGACCAGCCTAGCCAACATGGTAAAACCCTGCCTCTACTAAAAATACAAAAATTAGCCGGGTGTGGTGGTGGGCGGCTATAATCCCAGCTACTCAGGAGAATCACTTGAACCTAGGAGGTAGAGGTTGCAGTGAGCTGAGATCATGCCACTGCACTCCAGCCTGGGAGACAGAACGAGACTCCATCTCAAAAAAAAAAAGAAAGAAAAGAAAATTTATCTGAGATGGAGCCAATCTTAGGTTTATGAATTTTCAAAATATAAAGAGCTTTTGAAAGACATATTCTTGTCTAGATTTTAATTTCCAGTTTTAAGCCGTTCAGATAATTCATTTTTGGAACTTTGCCAATTACATGAAGCTGGGGGAAGAACAGGCATGTCTTCCCAACCTCTGCATACTGTTGGTTTCACTGTAATGAGGAAGTGGGGCTGACTTCCGGGTGAAGGAGGACAATGGAGTTACAATGTTGACCTAGAACTCGCTCTGCTCGTGGGTCCTCCCACCGGTCAGGCTGCACTGAAACCAAATAGCTCATTTTGCACACACAGGTGTATTTTTCTCTTCTTTTCTCCCCCTGTGCCTGCCCCATCTGAAGTGACATCCTCCTCCACCCACCACAGCACTCACATTCTTCTATGGCACTCTTGATCGATCAAGCAAACAAGAACTTTCCCTAGACCTTTCTTCAGAGAGCATAAAGAACATCCAAGTCAATATTACCTATTCTTTGAGATCCAGGGACTATGCTAATTTTGACGTTTTATATTGATATTATACCATTTTAAATGTTTGCAGATATATACCTCCTTCAAAATTAGGAAAAACAAGCTGAGTGTGATTTTCTAACACTACAACATCAGTATTCTTGCTGCTACTGTGTCCTAATGATGACATCTGGCAATGCTTAACCAAAAGCAGGCAGCTGTTCCACAGTCTCATCACCCTGCCCCCTGTAGGGTGTGCTGTGAAGCCAACACTAAGTCTTCAATTAGCAGTTCCTTGTCCATGCCACTGCTGCCACAAAGGGCCAGGCCACGGCCGGGATGCTGCATCCCGTTGTTTTTGGGCAGCCCCAAAACAACTCGACATGACGCTTGTGCGGAAGAGCTGGCTTCACCCACCAAGTCTACTCCGCAAGCAGGCTGGCTCTTCAGGATTTATCTTGCTCAAAGAGATCTGCCTACTAGAAGAGATGCCATTAAGGAAACCCACCTCAAAGACTATTCCTCAAAACTAGGATAGGTGATCTCCTTGAAATGGCAGTGATTTCCAGTTATTCAAATAGTGACTAATAAAGCTCCACTAACCCTAACCAAAGGCACATTTGGTAAGCAATTAAAAAAATGGCTTAACCTAGGAAGAGGATTTTCATTTAAAATAAATCTCACAATATCCCCTGGCTACCACCAAAAATAAAATGGAAAAACCTAAACCAAGCAAAACTTTTCTTTCAAAGCAGAGTGGCTTCCAACTTGCTTTTCAACTCAGTCACCACTAGAAAGGAAGTGGAAGGCAAGGCAAATCAAATTTGCAAGTCCTAAGTCCTAGAGACAGCACTTAAGAGTGGCAAAGCTTGGGATAAGGTGGGAAGTGATGGCCAGACTGAGATAGAGAGAGAGCCAGGGCAAATGGAACAACCCTTTGGTGATACAACTCAAGGACTTCCTATGGTGGAAGGAGCTACTGAGGACAGTAAATTCTAAGACATACAACCTATCTGGAATGCTCACGAAGCAACAGGCTGCTGCAAGCTAGCACCCGGGAAGGGACAATTGTTCTGAACAAGAGATCAAGGCTAAGCATAACACAAATCCTACAGGGAGAAGAAAAAGAAAACAATGCTTGGGTATTTGATTATGTCTAAAAAGGAAAAGAATGAGCCATTCTTTTTAGCAGGAGAAACAAACCTAATTACTCATAAACCATATTATGAGACGAAAATAAATCAACAGCTTCATTTTGGAGCCTTTTAGAGTCCTAGAATATCTGGCCAAGGTAGACTGTGAAAGGCAGGCTCTTCTTTAAACACGGTTATGGTTCAGCAGTGATTTGCAGGTCCTTGGGAAGGCACTGTGCTGAAGGAGAGAGCAAAGAGTTTTCTTTTTGTGCTTTTTTTTTGTTTGTTTGTTTGAGGTGGAAATATTTCTTGTGACAGTCAAGGCTCTTTTCTGATTTTTTGTTGCTCATACAAGCAGTCCCATACGAGTGACTTTGGCCGATAAGAATGTGTGCAACACAAATACAATTGGCTTCGGACAAGAGTGCAGGTCCATGGTCTGTGGAGAAAGGACACTAAGTATCACTACCTCACTGCCATATACAGACAACTGAATACATGAAGATGCAAAATAAATTTACTTTTAAGGTAGGTAAAGAATATGCCAGAGCTATGGAAACTCTTGGGAACTTAAAGCCACAGGCAAAAGTGCACTATGGAGTAAGGTTATTCCATGTCATAATACTGGTGTGAGGTTTCAAATCCCCAATTAGGAGACAACTGGTGGTGTACTGGGTTCCACCATGCCTGGTAGGAAGAACTAAATAGTAGAGGATTTAAAATCTAAGGCCAGGCGCGGTGGCTCACGCCCGTAATCCCAGCACTTTGGGAGGCCAAGGCAGGCGGATCATGAGGTCAGGAGATGGAGACCATCCTGGCTAACATGGTGAAACCCCATCTCTACTAAAAAAAAAAGAAAAATTAGCCAGGTGTGGTGGCACATGCATGTAATCTCAGCTGCTCAGGAGGCTGAGGCAGGAGAATCACTTGAACCAGGGAGACAGAGGTTGCAGTGAGCTGAGATGGTGCCACTGCACTCCAGCCTGGGTGACAAAGCGAGACTCCGTCTCAAAAAAAAATAAAAAAGAAAAATGATAACAAAAACCAACATCCACTGTCATCTGGAAAACTGAGAATAGCAGATACAGTGGCTCACATCTGTAATCCCAACACCTCGGGAGGCCAAGATGGGAAGATCACTTGAAGACAGGAGTTCAAGACCATCCTGGGCAGCAAAGCAAGACCTCATCTCTACAAAAAATACAAAAATTGGCCAGGCATGGTGGCACACGCCTATAGTCCAGTTCCAGTTACTCAGGAGGCTGAGGCAGGAGGATCACTTCAGCCCAGGAGGTATAGGCTGCAGGGAGCTATGATTGCACCACTACACTCCAGCCTGGGCGACACAGACCCCATCTTTAAAAAAAAAAAAATTTTAATTAAAAATTTCATGGTTCTAAATGGAATGTCAGTCCATGATTTTGTATATAAGGGGTAAGAAGTAATGAGAAGGAAAGAGAACATCTATTAGAAAAAAATGTGTTTCAGAAACACTCCTACCAGTTCTCCCTCGGGACCACCAAAATCAGAAACACTCTTACCAGTTCTCCCTCGGGACCACCAAAATCCAAGTATAGATTTCGGATGCCATCATCCGCAGACATCTTCAGCCTTTCAAAGGGGTAGCGGTATAATATGCTGCTGGAGCCTCCATTTTCCCTGGAGATGGTGAACCCATTTTCATAGTGAATAGTAAGCCTCACCTCTTGGCCATTTAACATGCAGCCTGTTGGAGAAAAGCAAAAAACATTAGTTGTAAAGTTGTTATGCCAGTTATCAAGTGAAATGGGATTCTTCTGACTCCAAAATAGGAAAAATATTTTCTTGAGAATGTGTGATACCGAACCTATATGGAACCTTCTAAAGTGTGTTTTGTTTTGGTGACTGAGATGAGGCAGAAATGACCATAACACTCCTTGACATCTGATTCAGTTTAATTCCATGAGTACCCACTGAACACTCATAGTGGCAAGTGTGTGTAGGCTGTGCAGGGCACTGGAGAAGCAAGAGAGGCACAGTCCCTGCTCTCAAGGACTTTGTAAACGCATTAGCATAAACAGGAAATCCCCAGCTGTGTAAGGCAGAATGTACAGAACATGAGCAAACACCAAACTGAATGAGGCCAAAGTCAAGAAAAGGTTTCCTGGAGGAGCTAGGCCTTCAGATAGGCCCTAAAGAACTGGTAAAACTGGCCGGGTACGGTGGCTCACAGCTGTAATCCCAGCACTTTGGGAGGTTGAGGTGGGTGGATCACTCGAGGTCAGGAGTTCGAGACCAGCCTGGCCAACAAGGCAAAATCCCGTCTCTACTAAAAATACAAAAATTAGCCAGGCGTGGTGGCACATGCCTGTAATCCCAGCTACTCAGGAGGCTGAGGCAGGATAACTTCTTGCACCCAGGAGGCAGAGGTTGCAGTGAGACAAAATCACACCATTGCACTCCAGCCTGGGTGACAATAGCAAGACTCTGTCTCAAATAAAAAGGTAAAACTGGACAGGCAGGGAGGAACAGGCAGAAGGACTGAACTGGGCGAGAAGGAACAACCAAAGGACCAAAGGCAGAGAGGCCTTTCAGGAGCTGTGATATGGTTTGGTTGGCATTTGGGATGAAGATAAAGATTACGTTCATCCAAGTTAAAGGCTATACTCAGCAAAAGTCACACATTCAATGCTATCAAAGATACAATTCAAAGGATACCTCTGAATTGACAGGATACAAACAATTTTGGTCATCAAGACCGGCAAATACCCCAGGTGTGGAGGCTCATGCCTATAATCCCAGCACTCTGGGAGGCTGAGGCAGGAGGATCACTTGAGGACAGGTGCGCTAGAGACCAGCCTGGGTAACATGACAAGATCTCATTTCTACTAAAAATAAAAAATGTATCAGGGCATGGTGGTGTGTACCTATAGTCCCAGCTACTCGGGAGGCTTGGGTGGGAGGATCACTTGCATCCAGGAGTTCAAGGTTGCAGTGAGCTATGATCACGCCACTGCACTTTAGCCTGGGTGACAGAGCAATGTCTAAACAATTTTAAAAAGAGAGATTTAGAAGTCCTTTTTTTTGTTTGTTTTGAGATGGAATCTCCTTTTGTTACCCAGGCTGGGGTGCAGTGGCGTGATCTTGGCTCATTGCAGCCTCAGTTTCCTGGGCTCAAGCAATTCTTCTGCCTCAGCCTGCTGAGTAGCTGGGATTACAGACGCATACCACCACGCCCGGCTAATTTTTTTGCATTTTTAGTAGAGACAGGGTTTCACCATGTTGGACAGTTTGGTCTTGAACTCCTGACTGCAAGTGATCCACCCACCTCGGTCTCCCAAAGTGTGGGGATTATAGGCATAAGCCATCGCACATGTTTTTGTTTTTGTTTTTTTTTTTGAGACAGTCTCGCTCTGTAGCCCAGGCTGGAGTGCAGTGACATGATCTTGGCTCACTGCAACCTCTGCCTCCCAGGTTGAAGCGATTCTCCTGCCTCAACCTCCTGAGTAGCTGGGATTACAGGAGTGTGCCACCACACCTGGCTAATTTATGTATTTTAAGTAGAGATGGGGTTTCACCATGTTGGTCAGGCTGGTCTCGAACTCCTGACCTTGTGATCCACCCACCTCAGCCTCCCAAAGTGCTGGGATTACAGGTGTGAGACACTGTGCCCGGCTCCCCACCCCCCGTTTTTTTTTTTTTTTTAGACAGAATCTTGCTGTGTCACCCAGACTGGAGTGCACTGGCACAATCTCAGCTGACTGCAACCTCTGCCTCCCAGGTTCAAGCAATTCCGGTGCCTTAGCCTCCTGAGTAGCTGGGATTACAGGCGGGCACCACCACACCCAGCTAATTCTTTGTATTTTTTAGTTGAGACAGGGTTTTGCCATGTTGCCCAGGCTGGTCTCGAACTCCTGAGCTCAGGCAATCCACCTGCCTCGGTCTCCCAAAGTGCTGGGATTACAGGTGTGAGCCACTGTGCCTGGCCTGAGAGGGTTTTTTTGTTTGTGTTTTTTTTGAGATAAGAGTCTCACTCTATCATCCAGGCTGGAGTGCAATGGCGCAACCTCGGCTCCTTGCAACCTCCACCTCCTGGGTTCAAACGATTCTTATGCCTCAGCCTCCCGAGTAGCTGGGATTACAGGTGTTCACTACCACGCCTGGGTAATTATTGTATTTTTAGTAGACAGCGATTTCACCGTGTTGGCCAGGCTGGTCTCAAACTCCTGACCTGAAGTGATCCGCCCACCTTGGGCTCCCAAAGTGCTTGGCCCCTGAGATTGCTCTATTTTTTATTTATTTATTTATTTATTTTTGAGACAGAGTCTCTCTGTTGGCCAGGCTGGAGTGCAGTGGCACGATCTCGGCTCACTGCAACCTCCATCTCCCGGGCTCAAGCGATTCTCCTGCCTCAGTCTCCTGAGTAGCTGGGATTACAGGCGTGTGCCACTACGCCTGGCTGATTTTTGTATTTTAAGTAGAGACGGGGTTTCTCCATGTTGGTCAGGCTGGTCTTTAACTCTTGACCTCACGTGATCCGCCTGCCTCGGCTTCCCAAAGTGCTGGGATTACAGGTGTGAGCCACCACGCCCAGCCATAGGTTAAAATTTATAATTAATACCAGATTCTTCTGAATGAGACTGTGACCTGATCATGTAAATGCTGTGCCAAATAGAACTAATTAAACAGGTTTTCCCTAAATGTTTAGTAGATCACACAGGCAATGATGGTAATGATGATTAAGTGCCTGACACCCCTTACCCTTTTAGGAGTAATGAACCAAAGGGAGATAAGGGAAATAAGCCTTTAACTCTGATTTAACAGCTGTGTGTGTGTGTGTGTGTGTGTGTGTGTGTGTGTGTGTGAAGTGGCTCTTTTTTTTTTTTTTTTTTTTAGTATAAATTCCCCATTTAGTAAGAGGAGTGGCCCTTTCTGGTGTGTGTGTGTGTGTGTGTGTGTGTGTGTGAAGTGGCTCTTTTTTTTTTCTTTTAGTATAAATTCCCCATTTAGTAAGAGGAGTGGCCCTTTCTGATGGGATAGCTTCTGGGGCTTATTAGTTGAGCTGTTGCAGGTGGCTCATTATGTCTTGGTTCACTTAGAATGCTTTTGGATGGCTACATATCCACTATCCACTCCAATTTATAGATAAGTCAGTAAAAAATTCAGCATGTTGATTTTGTTTAACAGGGTTGTTTCCAGAAATAGAAAAAGACACACAATAGCAGCACAATAGTAAGTACTAAAGTTAAAGGGATAAAAAACTACAGTTTTGGCTGGGCACGGTGGCTCACACCTGTAATCCTAGTACTTTGGGAGGCAGAGGCAGGCGGACTGCCTGAGCTCAGGAGTTCGAGACCAGCCTGGGCAACATGGTGAAACCCCATCTCTGCTAAAATACAAAAGAAATTAGCCGGGCATGGCGGCGTGTGCCTGTAATCCCAGCTACTTGGGAGGCTGAGGCAGGAGAATTGCTTGAACTTGGGAGGCGGAAGCTGCAGTGAGCCGCCCCAGCACTCCAGCCTGGGTGACAGAGCAGACTCCGTCTCACAAAAAAAAAAAAAAAAATCAAAAACTACAGTTCTTCAGGTATCAAGAGAGGAAGGTACATAAGCACAGGACTCTGCAGTGGGTGCTTTTATTTTATTTTAGATGGAGTCTCGCTCTGTCGCCCAGGCTGTAGTGCAGTGGCATGATCTCGGCTCACTGCAACCTCCGCCTCCCGGGTTCAAATGATTCTCCTGCCTCAGCCTCCCTAGTAGCTGGGACTGCAGGGGCGCATCACAACGCCCTTTTTTTTTTTCCAGTAGAGATGGGGTTTTGCCATGTTGGCCAGGATGGTCTCGAACTCCTGACCATAGGTGATTCACCCGCCTTGGCCTCCCAAAATGCTGGGATTACAGGCGTTAGCCACCATGCCCAGCCTGTAACATTCTTTACAGTGATAAGAGTTTCAGTGTATGGGACTAACTGATGGCTCTTTAGTCAAAAAACAATTTTTTTTTTCCTGATGACACAAGCATGATATAACTTTAAAAATTCAAACAACTGGCTGGGCACAGTGGCTCATGCCTGCAATTCCAGCGCTCTGGGAAGCTGAGGTAGAGGACTGCTTGAGGCCAGAACATTGAGATGTCTCGGCAACATAGTGAGATTCTGTCCCTACCAAAATTACAAAAATTAGCCAAGCATGGTGGCATACACCTGTAGTCCCAGTTACTTGGGAGGCTGTGGTGGGAGGATCACTTCAGCCTGGGAGGTCCAGGATGCAGTGAGCCATGTTCATGCCACTGCACTCTAGCCTGGGCAACAGAATGAGACTGTGTCTCTAAAAAAAATTAAATAAATAAATAAATAAATAAAATAAAAATTCCCACAACATAAAAGTGGTCTATAACTGCAGTTGGATTTAGGGATGGAGAAAAAGCCAGGGATGTCTATGGCCCAAATTACTGAGCAGTAAAAGGCACTGCCCACTTCAACAGCCAAGATAGGCTCTACATCTCCCTCCATTGTTTCCCCTCTTCCATCTGCCCCTCTTCCAGGCTAAGGCCAATCCCCTCACCTCTGCCTTGGATTGCATCTACCTCCACCTTCCTAGAAACTGTACAAGACTGATTACTCCTTCTACCTCTTGTGTTTTCAACACGTCCCGTCCCTCTGAATCAGATCCCTCCCATTCACTTTTAAATGCTCAAGCCTCTCTCATTATTAAAAGAAATGCCACTACGCAACTCTGTACCTTACCTC